ATCAAATAATATTGTGAAATAGTATTACAATTAACAATAACAGTTTTCTATTTGAATAAAATATAGGCCTATTTAAGGCCTGTCTTCAGTGTCACGCGATCCTTCAGAAATCATTCTAATATGCTGATTTGCAGCTCAAGAAACATTTCTGATTATTATTATCATCAAAAATCAAAAACTGTTTTGCTGCTTACTATTTTTGAGGAATCCATTATTATTATTATTTTTTTTTCAAAATTCGTGATAAATGGAAAGTAAAAAAAAAAATACACACACAGTATTTAGGCGAATACTGTGTTTTATATTTTGTGAAATTATTATTATTATTGTTATTTTATCTATTTAATGCAGGGGTGCCCAAACTTGGTTCAGGAGGGCCGGTGTCCTGCAGAGTTTAGCTCCAGCTTGCCTCAACACACCTGCCTTCAAGTTTCTAGTATGCCTAGTTAAGAGCTTGATTAGCTGGTTCAGGTGTGTTTAATTGGGGTTGGAGCTAAACTCTTCAGGACACCGGCCCTCCAGGACCGAGTTTGGGCACCCCTGTTTTAATGTGTCTTTGCTGAATAAAAGCACTGATTTCTAAATTCTTACTGACCCCAAACCTTTTTTACTTTATGTTTTTTACTGTAGTGTATATGTCGCAGCAAAACCGTTGTTTTGTACTGCTTTTGCCCTTTATAATTTATGACCATCAAATTCAACTGTTTGGATCTGTGTCTTATTTGGCTTTTTGTATTGCTAAAAAACAGTTGTACAGCAATGTGTCCAGTAATTGTTTTCCTTCTCGTAATCTCCCAGAAATCCCATGTTCTGACATCACTAATGATTAGCCTTAGATAGGCTACCTGGACACTCTGTCACTGCGCAATGTTTGTGAGCCGTGGTTTGCTTTGTGACTTTGCTTTGCCAAGACAAAGAAAATCCTCATATGGAATAGTGCTTGATATATTCATATTCTTACATTTCTTTTTTTTTTTTTTTCCATCAAAGTCAAGATTTTTGCAGACAGTTGTGCAACATATTCAGTGGACATAGTGATGACTGTTGGATTTGGTGGTAAAATACACTTCTGTCGTCATTCTATCATTTACACAGCTGGTCACTGAGTGCTTCTCCTACACAGGATTTACCCAGCCAAATATTATTTGGCAAAATTTAAATCTGATATTGATTTTAGTTGCTCCTTTTGTGTCAGTTGCCCTGAAACTGCGGCACATTTGTTTTGGCATTGCCCTTTTGTAAAACTATTTTGGCAAAATGTATGTAATTTTATTGTACAAAATATTGATAATCATTTTGTTTTGTTATGGAAAGATGTATTATTTGGTATATTGGAGAACAGCAAAGAAAAGCACAGTCACGTTTACATGATAAATCTTATTTTTTTACATGCAAAATTTCATATTCACAAATGTAAGTTCTCATGCAAAAAAACTTGTTTTTTTTTCTTTTAGGAAGGAAATGGAGCATTATATTGATACTATATGATTTTCTATGAAACAAAAAGCAATTAAAACGGAGAAAGTTTGTAAACGCTTTAATATTTTTATATAAATTTGTATTTGTATACAGCCCCTCTAGTGTGAAATTGTTTATTTCATGTATGTTTATTGTTTATATCATGTATAGTGTTTGTCATATACATGTATTTTGATCTTGTTAATAAAAAACAAAAAAAAACTGAGTGCTTCTCCTTCTATGTTTACAACTTTTTTCTTCCTCTTAGCCTTAACTGCAAATTTAAAGAAAGGAGGTCAGAGCCTAATCAACACTGAGCTGTGACGGAAAACATCAAAGCAGGGAATAACAGGTCAAAGCCGAACTCTGAACTTCATGTACCTTGGCCTCCTGCCATGCCTATATGTAGAAAAGGCAATTGTTTACCTTTCTCTGTAGCCGCAGTTAGTGCGACATTGAGTCAGACACAGGGGCCAGAGCAGGGGCCGCTGAGAGGATGACAGATATTTGGGTAGTATTATTAATAATATTATAGGATATGTATAGGATTAATTAACATTATATATAACTGATTGCTTAGAAGTTCATATTATAATATTATTTTACACAATTATTAATTATTTCGATATAATAATTATATTATTTTAATTATATATTACTATTACATTATAATTAATACATTTTATTATTATTTATTAATTATTATTTTCATTAATTTATTATTATTATTCATTTTAACGAGATCAAAACACCAATTTCAGACAAACTTACAAATATATCTATATTTTACATGATATTCTGCCCTCTAGTGGTCTGACTGAACCCCGCTTTTCCACGACGATGTCACGTGGACGAACAAAGACTTACATTTTTATCTAAAAATCTAAAATAAACCGTCTAATTAACTGTTTTAATTTCTACGAAGAAAAAAGAATGTTAGCTGAAAAAGAATCCGCGATGGGAGGAGATATTTGAACCATGAACTCTACGGCGTAGACGGGTCATAGGTCACGTGCCCATGCCGTGCAGCAAAGCACCATGTCCAATGTGAGAGTTTGAATTATTGAGATATTAATCTGATTCCAAATCGCAAGATACTGTACAGCTGTAAACGATCATGTCGGACCTCAAGATTAATACGAAGTTTGCAGAAAAATATGAGAAATATCGTCAGAAAGAAGAACTACAGAGGCGTAAGTTAAGACACGCTAGAAACACAAGCACGGGCTGTTTACTACACACTCAGATATTAATAATCTGCATTTTCATATGCTAATATCTATACTTTCTGTGTTGAATATATTAGATGATCCCTATATCGATCTTAAACATCAAACGTGCTACGATTTATATTTGTATGCGTTTTATAGATCTATTTGTATATTATTTTACAGTAACAATGAACAATGTAGGTAGTACTTTCTACTGTTGTCGAGACTGTTTCTAAAAATGAAGAGTAATGTTGCATATGTTCATAAAGATAATCTAAGTAGACCATTTTTTAAACTTCACAAGTACAAAAATTCACCATTGTAACCCAAATTGTCATATTTACTAACAGTAAAGCTGTGGTAAGTTCTTAATAACCACAAGTGTTGATAAATTATAAAGTAAATATTGTGAAAGCTTGTTTTTTTATATATATTTTTGTATATTATTTGACAATAACAATGAACAATGTAGGCAGTACTTTCACTGACAGTGCTTTTTGAGGCATGAAACAAAACATATCCCGCTAATTTGACATTCTGCTACATATTTCTATGTGTGTCATACAGGCAGCCATACCTTTGATTTTTGAGTGAACTGTGCTTTTAATTCTGTCGAGTCAAATGAATGCTAAATCTGAGTGTTTATGTCAAATGTTCCAGTGAAGGATCGCTATGGAGACCAAGATGAGGAAAATTCCTCAGACTCCTCCGACTCTGACTCAGATGAGAGTGAAGTGGTAAAATATTCTCTCACTTTCTTGTTTGAAAAACTTTTGCCAACTTTATACCCAGATTATCATGTTCAATACTCTGTTATAGGAGCTGGACCCCAAGCTGGACAGAGATTTTTACAGAACGCTGTCACTGCTGAAGAAGAAACATCCAAAGATCTATCAGAAAGATGCCAAATTCTTCACAGAAGAGGGTATGAATGATAGCTTCATAATATGCTTTCTACTCCAATTACAGACATATACTGTATGAGGAGACTGTACTGTTTTCATGTGAATTGTCTCTGTGAATAAACAGCATCTGGATCAGGCAGCGATGATCAACCGTCCACTTCAAAAAAGTCAGAGAAACCCATGTTCCTGAAGGACTATGAGAGGAAAGTCATCCTGGAGAGAGGAGGGTAAGAAACCATCTGTTTATAAATGATCAAAGCTGTGGCCACAATGAATGAAACAATAATTGTTCCAAAGCTGAAATAGTGGAAGCATAATGAAAATTAATTGTTTATTTGTCATACATGTATTATATATATTTAGATGACTGATATTCTCTCTATAGTGCTCAGATTGTTTGTGTAATAAAATTGAATATAATCCATTTTAGAAAATATGATGATGATGATGAGGATGACAGTGCTGATGAAGTCGTCTCCAGAAAGATGCAGAAGGTAATTATACTTAAGATGTTAAATTTTTCACCATGGTCTGAAAACGGACCTTGTTACTTTTTATCACATACTTAAACTTATAGTGTACAATTAATTAATGTATGTATATTATTCCAACTTAAAAAGACCTTAATATTATTTTTAGTGCTTTCAAACGATTAATCGCATCCAAAATAAAAGTTTTTATTTACATAATATCTGTGTGTGTACAGTGTATATGTACTATGTATATATAAAGACACACACATACATTATATATTTTGAAAATATTTACATGTATATATTTATATTCATATTATATTACATATAAATATATAAACGTAACATATTCTTAAATATATACACATGTGGGTGTGCATTTATACATACATAATAAATATACACAGTACACACACATATACTATGTAAACAAAAACTTTTATTTTGGATGCAGTTAATCGTTTGACAGCACTAATCATTTGATCAAATTATACAAATGATACAAAACATTCAGATGGAAATGGACTTGGTTTTCATTTAAGACGTTCCTCCACTCATCAAAGTGGCTTCTTCAGTATCTGAAACATATCACTAGATAATATGTTTGGGTATAATATGGGGATAATATGTTTATTACAGAGAGCTGCATCTCCCACCTACATCCAAGAACAGAAGGAACTACAGGAAAGGTAGGAGATCGTGTTTGCACCATTATCTCATGTTACTTAACGTATAGCTGTCTATGTATCATTTACCTGTGCTGATTTTAAAGGGATAGTTCTGTCAAAATGAAAATCCTCTCATCATTTACTCTCCATAATGTCGTTCCAAATCTGCATGACTTCTTTCCCATATGGAAACGGAGGAAAGAAAGACATGTGGATTGAAACTTCATGAGCGTGAGTAAATAATGACAGTTGTTTAATACTGGCTGAACTATTCCTTTACGGATAGTATTACGCAATGTTTTGCTCGAGTCTATATGTTCATTTGGCAGTTTTCGAAAGTTTGTGCAAGACAGTGATGATGAGGATGGTGGCAGACAGCTGCTAACACGGAGAACCAAAACACAAGAGGAGAAGGTGCTTGATATTCTCTTCTTTAAAACCGATGAACAGTAAATGAAGGATATTGGCTGATTGTGTAGATTAAAACAGTATCCGATCATAAACATTTTCTTTGTGCTTGTCTATTCCTGCTTTCTGAAGGACAAAGAGGAAGCCGACTATGTGGAATGGCTGAAGGGTCAGGCGGAGCTGGAGGGGGAGGAGGGAGTTAGAGACATGGTCAGTGTTTTGCTTCGGTTTAAAGATATTTAATGATGAAACAAGGGATAACTAAATGCCTTACTCACTCTTGCTCTTTTCTGATCCAGAAATACCTGCGCGACTACTGGAACAACCCCGAGCTGGATGAGAGAGAGTCTTTCCTGCGAGATTACGTGCTCAACAAGGGCTACCTGGAGGAGGATGAAGAAGATAGGTGGGTTTTGTCTGTAGTATTACAGCAAGTGATGAACACGCATGAACATACAGGTGCATCTCAATAAATTAGAATGTCATGGAAAAGTTAATTTATTTCAGTAATTCAACTCAAATTGTGAAACTCGTGTATTAAATAAATTCAATGCACACAGACTGAAGTAG